TTGGAAGTGAAAAAAATATTCAATGTAATGACAAAAATTGTAAAATGCTGTGGAATTTCTTTTGCAAATAAAAATATACTAGCAATTTTCTATTAATGGTTTATTCAAGTGGGCAAAATATAATGTACAGAAAGATTGCCCGTATACACTGAAAAGTAAGCAACCGACAGCCTGTATAAAAGGGGGGGCTGTGATTGGCTGTTACTTACGCGAGATTTGAACGGGACTTACATAGGCGTCGGATCAGATGTAGGTAGGGCGGAATTAAAAAAAATCAAAATCAAAGTAAAATAATGAGATAAAAGGGCATTAATAACAAAAGTAATAAAAAATAAAATTAAAATAAGTTTATAGCCAAAATAATTAAAGCCCGTACACTACATCAGATTTTAATCAGATTGGCATTTAAGTAGCTTTTACCTCATACCCCGACTTACATAAAGCATCATGGGAAAAGTGGAAGTACATGGTCAATGACTGGGGTGAACATGGAAGTCACCTTTTAAACCTTGCGGTATATAACACACTATAAAATAACAAAAATACTTGCAAAAGAACTAAATACAACTATTTAAACTGACTTGAATATAAATATTGGTTAGAATAATTGTACAAAAATATTGTCTTTAAGTTTATTGTAACAATTCTCACAATACGCAAGTATTGACTTAGAATAAATCTACTTACCATATATGGTCAAGATGGAAACCAATCAAATTCATTTACAGCAAAGGTAATTAACATAATCTAAGTTTGTGTCCATATAAGGTCAACAGGTTGGCCAATCCAAATTTATTTACACTTTAGTTAATTTAAATTTATTATTACATACTAATCTTGTCTATGATTGGTCACTATTTCCAAAATAAAACAAAACTGACCAACCAGAGTTGATATACAAATCAGGTAATTAGCATATTATGCTTTTAGATCAAAAGACAGACAAGCTGTTCAATCACTTGTGATATTCTATTCAGTTTCAATGTACAAACCACAAGATATAAAATACGAAGGATGGCAGAATAAGAAAATCAAAAAAAAAATATATTGTACTTTTTTTTACAGCAGAAACTTTAAGTAAACAAATAAAACCAAAGCCTGCAGTGCCCTTTCAAAATACCCCCCTCCCCCCACCAAATGATGCTCAATGGAATTGACCTTTCAGAACATAACATTACAGGCGTAGGGTTGAATGACTAGAACCTTGAGGGGCGGAATGTTGTCAGTGAAAATGCCTGGCTGGACAATGGATTAGTCTGGAAAAATCAATCAATAAAAGCATGAACGTATATATGAAAGTTATGAGATTGCACTAAAATTGGTCAAAAAGACTCTTCACTCTTTGATGCGTACTGATATATCACAAGAACACCAGTTTACTGCAGCCACATATACAAAGTTACTAAAATTGCATCACAATCAACATTTTCGTCTGTCCCAGCACAACAGTGAGCATCAGATGGCATTTCTACATTTTGTTCTTATCATCAAATAAGACTTTAAAAAATCTAACAAAATGTTGATAAAAATAGTACTGTACACCTACAACACTACCACATCTGTAGACAGACTTGTCACCCCCTATATTTAGTATTAGTATCCCCCAATCCTAACATTGGACATCAACCATAGACTGTACCATTAGAATTACATGAGCCAGAAGGTTTTCAAAGATCCATTCCAGCTAGGAGTTCGTTACATAGTCTCCGATACTGCCACGTATCCCCTGCTATTTTACGTAATCGTAGTCCGTTCACCGACAATCCCGGAACTTGGCATATCTCCAGCTCCATACGCACGCCCTGGTTTTCCAATGAAAACTTGTTTGCTAGATTCTCATATTTAAGTCCTGGACCTTGATTATCCAAGGTCCTTTTGATTTCCTGCACTACTTCTGGAAGCTCCTTTGCAGTCATTAAACTGAACGACCGTGCATATTTCAAAGTAACAGGCTCAGAGTTATTTTCCGAATTGGTATCACCGCCTTTCAGAGTGTTCTGCATCGAGAATCCTTGCATGCAGAGAGGAACTGTCTTTCCTGGTTCACTCTGGAGGTACTTCTCCGATGTCTGAACTAACATGACACTCTCTTCGTAATTGTTATTAGTGTGCGTGTAGTAAGGTATTGTGTGTTGCAGGAGTTGGGCTTGTAGCTGTATCAGGGCGTCGTTATTGTTCTGGATGACTGTGTGATGCTGAAGGCCATGTGGCTGGGCAATGCCATTGTTACCACCACTACTCCTAAGGTTGTTGAAGGCCAGACTAAAAAGGTTTCCTGTGAAAATCAAAACAAAAGAAAAATCGTATTTCTTGCAATATGACAACACCACTAAGCTTTATGACTAACACAAGTTCAAGTATGTAATGATGTGGAGGAGGGGTTGAATTGATGACATACTTGTCCAACTAAGCGCCAACCGCAACATTTTCAGCATTTTTTTTGAGGGGGGTTTATGTCCCACTAAAACATGGCATAAAACGTGGTCTTTGAAGATTGTTTGACTTTTCCGAATACCAGGAATCAAACAAGTCATTGAAAATGACACAGTCCCCGTTAAGTTCTATTTGTGCTCGTCATATTAAAGCGGAGGGGTTGTCGCGAGCATGTCCTTGAAACTTGAGTTCCAAGTGGCGTATACAACAGATTGTTTATTTACATCAAAACACGTGTTTCGTGTCATAGTAATATGGCCAAAATAAAAACAGTCGTTATTTAGCCATCTTTGATCTGATTATGAAACACACTGATATGTATGATGTGTGTTCCAAATACGAATGAAAATGGTACATAAATTGTGGAAATATAGTAGTAAGGCCAAAAAGTCAGATGGCTGTCAATCGGCCATCCTTGACCAGATTTTGAAACGAATTGTCATGGACATGCATCCTAACATGTATAAAGTACATGTATGTGCCAAATTTGAATGAAAACTGACAGAGCACGTCCAAGATACTGCATAAAAAAACAAAAACAAGATGCCTGCCAGTCGACCATCTTTGATCCAATTGCAAAATAAATCGTAATGGACATGTATCCTAACATGTATAATCTATGTACCAAGTTTGAATGACAACTGACAAAGCATGTCCAAAATACATTTTCAAAAAACAAGATGGCTGCCAGTCGGCCATTTTGAATTGAATCGCTAAACCACTGCATGTGCATATGTCCCACATAAGGTACTAGGCACATGCAAAGAATGAACGGAATCGGTCCACAGGATTCTGAAATATGACGTTGGATAGACTGACACACGGACAGACGG